TTGAGGGATATGTCAATTGTCCGTTGTCTTTTAGTATGATGAGATGATTTGATGATTCGCTAAATATGTTTCTGCTCGCTGAAATCAAGCATTTTCTGCATATTTGTAGTTTAGATATTGAAATATATATAAAAAAGAACCTTTGAGTTTTGTAAATGTTAACATCATCTAAATTTTTCAAACTTAGTAAGTAGGCTTTCATTTCATAAAGTTTATCTATAGTGGCTGTCAGGTTGCTCTATATAATGTATTGCTTCCATTCTATATCTAGCATCAGTTTGCTTTCTATATATAGAAAAGATCATTGATGTTTTTCACAAAAGCTATTGTTTCACAAACGTCAGAAAAAACATCAAATCCGTTTAAGAGTTCCAGTGATTTAGCCACAGAGCAGTTAAAGATATGAGTTAAGATGCATATTTAACTTTCATCTTATGCTTTTCAAAATTTACATGATTTTTGGTTAATTTATTTTTTAATTTCATTTTGATTTGTTGTTGATAATTAACTAAATTTACGATATGATTCCATTTGATTGGATTATTATTATAAAATATTATATTATAAGAATGAAACATATTCCTTATTAATTTCAGCATGTGGCATGCATCAAATATGATATATATTTTCTGGCCGGTTGTTGGCCGAAACGTTAGTGGCCAACCCATCCATTACCAGTGAAACAACCCTAAAAAATAAATATAATGTATAAAAATTTTAACATAATTTTAAGAAAAACAAATGTTGTTTATCCTAACTCCGGCATTATGTAACTTATCAACGTCTTTCTTTATAAAATCTTTCAACTTGTGAGATGACAATTTTTTGGTATAAAAATAAGCTATTTAATGCCTCCAAGCTTCTTTCAGACCAACAACCTAAAAAATCAACACCTCTGAAGCACCTCTGTCCTCATTCCCATCTCCATAGTTAACATATCCAATAAAGTCATCTTCACAAATAAACAATGCGTTTGATAATTTATGCTTAACATTTAACATCAATAAAATTAAAAAAATTGAAGACAAATGCTTATAGTGAAATGGGAAACAAAAAAATCAAGAAATAAATAAAATACACCAGGAATAAACTAGCATATGCTACCAAAATATGCTATATTTTAAACTCACAAATTTACAAACAAAATATATTTTAAAAACCTACCAATTTTCCTATTATACGTTATTTGAGGCTTTATTGATATCGAATCAAGGATTAAAGAGCATTTGCAATATTTCATTTGCAGTACATATTTCTTTATATAGCAATATTAGTTTACAGAATATCATTATTAACAAAATTTTACTTGTTCAATGTTCT